TTGGTATTCACTTGTAATCTTTGAACCTTATATTGAGTAAGTGAATAGAAAAACAGTTTTAACAAATTCTTATTCTTCTTCTTCCTTCTTCTCTATCCTTTATAAGGCCTAATAGGGTTTCTTATGTTTGTTCAAGAAACTCAATATTTTTCTCATATTTTGGTTTGTTCTTGACAATATCAATTCATAACAAACTCGTGCGGTGAGCGTGGAGGAGAAGATGCCATAAACAAAGTATGAGATCGAGAAATTCATCGGTGTGAATGATTTCGGTTTATGGCACTTGAAGATGCAAGCTCTTCTTATTCAAAGGGGTTTGTTAGAAGTATTGAAAGGATCATAGAAGATGGACATTGCCCTATCAGAGAAAAAGAAGACAACGACAGTCGAAAAAGCCCACAGTGCCATTTTATTGAACCTTGGTGATAAGGTTCTTCGACAGGCTTCAAGGGAGAAAAATCCAACTGGTGTGTGGACAAAACTTGAAAGTTTGTACATGAAGAAATCGTTGGTTAATCGTCTCTACTTGAAGCAAGCTTTATATTCATTCAATATTAGTGAAGACAAAGCCTTGGCTGAACAGCTGGATATGTTGAACAAGTTAATTCTTGATCTTGAAAATATTGAGGTCAAGATTGATGATGAAGATCAAGCGTTGTTGTTGTTGTTGTGCTCTTTACCTAAGTCTAATGCTCAATCCAAAGAAACTCTCTTGTATGGAAGAGATTCGTTGACCTATGAAGATGTTCAATGTGCCTTGTACTATAAGGATTTCAACCAACGAAAGGAGCACAAGTCATCTTCTGTTGGTGAAGGTTTGTCCGTTAAGGGGAAATTATTGAAGAAAGATGGTAGATTTGAGAAGAAAATGGGTAAAAATATACATAATTCTTATGGTGGTAATGCTACTACTATTAAATGTTATCATTGTAAGAAAAAGGGTCATACAAGAAAAGTATGCCCTGATCGACTGAACAATCATGGTGGAAAGGATAATGTAATGCAACCATTTTGCAAGATGGTTATGAATTATTTGATGTCCCGGTGGTTTCAAACAGTGACTCTAGCAAAGAGTGGATTATGGATTCAGGGCGTACTTGTCATATGACTCCAAACAAACACATGTTTAAAGAATTGTGTGATCAAGATGGTGGATTATTGTTGCTTAGAAACAACACAGCTTGCAAAATTTTAGTTATTGGATCTATGAGATCCAATCTCTATGATGAGTCAATAAGGCTATTGACTAATGTTAGGTATGTACCTGATCTTAAGAGGAATTTGATTTCTCTTGGTGAATTCGATAAAAAAAAAGATATGTTTTCAAAGGGGAGCAAAGAATCCTAAGGGTAATGAAGGAGTCGAAGGAAGTCTTGAGAGGCATGAAGAAACAAGGCTTGTATACCCTTGAGACCAAGGTTGTAAGCGGTTCAGAAGATGTGGCATCCATAAAACCTGTGTAGAATACTGAGGTATCGCATAAGAGACTTGACCATGACAGTGAAAGAGGCCTAGTCGAATTGTCGAAATAAAATCTGTTGTGTGGTGACAAGGTCGAGAAACTGGAGTTTTATGAACCTTGTGTATTTGATAAATCCTGTAGAATAAAGTTTAACAAAGGTAAACAAAGAACACATGGATCCCTTGATTACATTCATGCTGATCTTTGGGGGCCTGCAAGAAATCTTTCACACTCAGAAGCAAAATATTTCCTGTCCATAGTTGATGATTATTCTAGAAATTTATGGGTATTCATCCAGAAGTCTAAGGATGAATCTTTTTAAAATTTCAAATTTTGAAAGACTCTGATCAAAAACCAAACAGGCAGGAATGTCAAGAGGTTGAGAATCGACAATGGTCTTGAATTTTGAAATGAGGCTTTCGACAGCTATTGTGATGTGTATGGTATTGTAAGGCACATGACTACTGTAGGGACTCCTTAACAAAATGGTTTGGCTGAAAAGTTTAATCAAAACATTCTGGAAAGGGTGAGGTGCATGTTGGTAAGTGCAGGATTGAAGGTGTTTTGGGTAGAAGCTGTTGTGACTGCGACATACTTGATAAATATGTGCCCCTCGACAGCCTTGGTAATAAAGACACCGGAAGAAATATGGTCGGGACATCCAACTAGTCGCGACAGACTTAGAGTATTTCATTGTTTAGCCTATGCTCATATTAGGTAAAACAAGGTCAAACCTAGAGCTCTGAGATATATGTTCCTTGGATACCCTGAAGGAGTTAGAGTTTATAGGTTGTGGTCCCTAGAGTTAGGTCATAGGAGGTGTATCACTATTCGAGATGTAGTTTTCAATGAAGATGATATGGCTTTCAAGAAAACTGATGATATTGGTCGAAGTTCGAAGATCTTTGAAGCATAAATGGAATAAGAAGAGATTCCTGTTGAGGTGGAGCATAATGATGCTGAATTGCATGACTTAGATGAAGTCGAAGAAGATGCAGAAGTTGTTGTCGAAGTTAAGGAGACTGATAATGACTACCTGCTAACAAGAGACAGGTTGAAAAATTTCATCAAGCCACCTCAGAGACTTGGTTATTGAGATCTTATAGCTTATGCCTTAATATTTGCAAGTGAGGTTCTAGACGAAGAACCTAGAAACTATAAGGAAGTTATGAGGAGTCAATACAAGATTGAATGGCTGAAAACCATGGATGATGAGATGAAATCTCTTCATGATAATAACACTTGGGAGCTTATCGAGAAACCTGCAGGGGGCAGGTTAGTCAGCTGTAACTGGATCTTCAAGGTTAAGGAAGGAATCGGAGGAGTGATGTCGAAGAGTTTTAAGGAAAGGTTAGTTGCTAGGGGATTCACTCAGAAAGAAGGTATCAACTTCAATTATGTGTTCTCACCAGTTGTAAAGCATAGATTCATTAGAATGTTTTTAGCCATGGTGGAAAAGTTCGACCAAGAACATAAAAAGATGGATGTGAAAACAACCTTCCTGTATGGTGATCTAGATGAAACAATCCTGATGATGCAACCTGAAGGGTATGTAGAAAAGAGAAAGGAAGATTATGTGTGCAAGTTGAATAGGTATTTGTATGGCCTGAAACAATATCTTCAACAATGGAATAGGAGATTCGACAAGTTCATGGAACACATTGGTTTCACTGGAAGCCAATTCGACCACTGTGTTTACTTTAGATTTCGACTTGGAAATTCACTTGTTATTTTGTTGCTTTATGTGGATGACATCCTCATAGTAAGCAACAATGTCGAAGATGTTATAAAGGTGAAGGATGAACTAGATAAGGAGTTCAACATGAAGGATTTGGAATCTACCTCCAGAATTCTTGGGATTGACATCCATAGAGATAGAAAGTAATCGAGATTACGCTTATCTCAAAAGGAATACTTGAAGAAGATTCTCGACAAGTTTGGTACGTCAAATTCAAAATCTGTTCTAACATTGACTAATCCTCAATACAAGTTGAGTTCGACTTAAAGTCCTAGTACTGAAGTCGAAAGAGCCTATATGAATAGCATTTCATATGCTAGTATAATAGGTTATTTGATGTATGTTATGGTCTGTACGAGGCCAGACATAACGTACGAAGTGAGCATTGTAAGTAGGTATATGGTCAATCCTGGAAAGGCAAACTGGAAAGCATTAAAGTGGATTCTTATATACATTAATGGGTCTCTGGGTAGAGTTCTGATTTATGATGGAGCCTGTTGTGGTGATAGAGAAGTCGAAATCGAAGGATTTGTCGACTTTGATTATGCAGGTTGTATGGACTCTAGAAAATCTATTTATGGATATGTGTTCACTATGTTCGTCACAAAAATTAATTGGAAAGCAACACTTCAGAAGTTTGTTGCTTTGTCAACTACTGAAGCATAATATATTTCCCTCACTGAAGCTGTGAAATACGCATTGTGTCTTGAAGGTTTTGCTAAGAAACTTAAACTTCAAGGTCGAGTTATCATTGTTAAATGTGATTGCCAAAGTGCAATACACCTGTCGAAGAATTCAGTCTATCATTTGCGAACCAAGCACATCCATGTAAGGCTGTACTTTGTCAGAGAGATAATCGAGCGTGGAGAAGTCAAGTGTTGAAGGTTTCGACTGATGTCAATGGTGCTGATATGATTACCAAGACATTGCCGAGTAACAAGTTTTTCCACTGTATGTAATTGATAAAGTTGCATGATGAAAACTAGTTTGTTCCCTTGTTAGTGTATAGTTTGTTCCAAGGTGGATATTTGTGGTATTTTGGATCGAACTCTAGCGTCGACAAGGGTAGTTTCATGGTTCGCCAGAAGTTGTGCATGTTGGAGTTGAAATCTGTTCAAGAATGTTGTCGAAATATGTTAGCTTTGTGTTTAAGTTAGCATGTTGAATTGAGTCTTGCTTGTAAGCTCAATTGTTAAGTTAACTTGTAGTCTAAGTTAACTTAATAGTCTATAAATAAATTAGTTCTCTCAAATTGTTGAGAGAGGTTAATTGTCAGTATTCACTTGTAATCTTTGAATCCATATTGAGTAACTGAATAGAAAAACAATTTTAACTCATTTTTCTTCTTCTCTATCTTTTGTAAAACTTAATAGAGTTTCTTGTATTTGTTCAAGAAACTCAATCTTTTTTCTCATATTTTGATTTGTTCTTGATGATATCAATTCACAATATTGTTCATCAAAATTGATTCGGTTAACTTCAAAGATTGAAAATTTCCATCAAATATCGCGTTGTGTGGCACATGATAATTCTTCCCAATCTATAACTTTGTTGATTCCACTATCATAACTACCACATGTTAGCCAATTGAAGTACAATAATTGAACAATATCTTCTTTCTTTTCTAGTAACATAAATAAAAGCACATTTTATTCAATGAACATGTTATAACCATGAATAGCTTCTACACCACACAACATTTCAACATTAAATATATAAAAGGCTATACACTTTCATAACATATACACATCTTCCTAACTTGTGTTTGTGTACCTCATTGCATCTTCCAACCTTGAAACCATGAACTCAATCCAACAAACAAATGAAAAATGGAAGGGCAAAGCAAATACAAAACTACCAGGATGCAAATCTGAACAAGTATGGCCACTTTTAGAGGATTTTTTTGGCCTTGACAAATGGTTTCCAACTCTCTCTACATGCATACCAATTGAAGGAACACCAGGCAAACCAGGCTGTGTCCGTTTCTGTGCAGGTTTCAAGACTCCTATAGATAAAAATGGCAAACAAAGATTGAATTGGACTAAGCAGAAACTTCTTTCAATTGATCCAATTCAAAAGGTGTTTAGTTATTCAATTATTGATGGAAATGTTGGATTTTATTCCTATGTTTCAACTGTTAAGGTAATGAGAAAAGAAGATGGATGTGAGATTGAGTGGATATATGAAGTTGAACCTGTTGAAGGATGGAGATTGGAAGATCTTGATTTTTTCATTGGTTCTGGCTTGGATGTCATGGCTCAAAGAATTCAACAAGCTTTGAAGACCATGAAAGATGCACTTGAAGCTTAATATTAATTTGTCATGTTTTATTATTAATGTTTAAGTAATGTTTTGGTGTTTTGGTTTTTATAAATTAAGGTGTTTTTTATTTATTTTTTTGTATTTTTCTTTTATATAATGAATGTTAAAAATTACGTTTAAATAATATTTTGGTTTTTATAAATTAACTTATTTTTTATTTTTGTTTTTATATTTTTTGAATATAATTATTGAATTTTAAAAAAATTGATTTTAGTTTTTAAAGCTAAAATCTGCATGAAAATCTAAAGAAAAAACAGTAGAAAATTTGTAAATTTTAATTTTAAGAATTTAAATTAAATGAAATTTAATATTTAAAAACTTTATTTATAAAAAAATACAGGAACGAAAAATAAAAATACAAAATCAAAAAAATATTTAAACTTAAAAATGATAAGTGAAAACTATTATTAATAATCATTTTACATTTTGTTTGGGATGACATTTGAATGATATTTCTTAAAATTATAATTTTAAATATTTCAACCAAAAATAATTAAAGTGAAATAATTCCTCGCACATAGATTCATGTTACATGGGAAAGTGGAAGACAATAAAGTTGAAAGAGACCATTTTGTTATTTAGTTTTCTTATAAAAGATACACTAGTATTTTAAACAAGGGATAAATAGTTAGCATTTTAATCTTCTTTATTTTGTCTTGTTCCAAATTTTAGTGGTAGGGTGAATTAAGGTAGTCTGAAATGTCTCTTTCTTTCTCTTTTTCTCTAATGAGAGGATTTGTCACTTTCTTGGCACAACCCCAAACATTTTTTCTCAATTATTGTTGGACATTATGTGGTTGTTGTCACATGTGCATTGTACTTTGTGATTTTAGTAACTTGAGTTAACAAACTCAAATTACATTTTTTTAATCATAAAAACCTCTTATATTAAAAATTATAATTTTATAGTAGTAGCTTTGCTAGCAAGATTACGGACCCTAATTTTCTTATTTAGTGGGCCAAACCAATTTCAAAGCTTAGAAGGGTTTGTTGATTTCTGAAGCATACTAACCAATTTGGGATCTATCCTTGAGAGTGTTGCAATTATTACTCTAAATATAAACCCTAACTCTCTTTCTAAACTTTTTGCACAGTTTCTTCTTTGTCACACTTTTGGTTAGTCATCCACACAGTGAAATCGTTTTGGTTAATCTTAATATTTATCTTGTAAGTATTGGAATATCTTAATCTTTTGATTCAATATTTAATAAGATAATTTAATTAAAATTCCATAATTAAAGCGTCTTCACCATAACATAAAAACATCAACTACAAAATAGTCATATACTATTACAAAACGCGTAAACAACAACGCCCGATTTACAACGGATTCATATACACCGTTGTAATAAGTTAAAATTTTCGCGCCTAGTGAGTAGCTGGATTTATAAACAGTAATTTAATTATGGTTGTCTTAAAACACCATAGTAATAAATGATGTGTAGCAAGTTTCGATTCACAACAACTATATTTTTTCATTTATTATAGTACATTAAGCGTGTATCACTTAAGTCCATTATTTAAAAAAATAAATTTATAAATAATTTTACAACGGTGAAGTAAATCAAACGTTGTAAAATTTGAAAGTTATTTAACCGCGGTTTTACAATACAACCATTGTAAAATTTGAAAATTGTATCACGGTTTTTCTTTCTAACCATGATGAAAAGTGATATTTTTTAGTATATAAGTGAAAGTATATATCGTTCAGTACATAACAGTTGTTTCTCTCAAAAGAAAATCCAAACATATTTCACTCTTCTTTCATAACATAACCCTAACATCCATGGCACTCTTTAAAATTACTTCAACCTTCAGATACGTTTTCAGATTCGTCTTCACCAATCGCTAACTTGAGGTTCATTCGTTAAATTTATACTTCGATTTCGTTTATGTTTCTTGTTAAAAATGGGTTCTCATTTTTTCATTTGGTGAATGTTCTCATTTTTTCAGATTCGTCTTCATTGCCTTAACAAAGCGCATACTTTGACTATGATACATATGGTTTGTGTAGTTATGAAGAGAAATACAAGAAGTGTGAAGCTATTGTGTAAACTTTATTCACCTTATATTTCCTCTTCATAGCTTCATAAACTAGATGAACTTCATAATTTGTTTGACATCCACGATTAATTTAAAAAAAGGTGTATCTTGAAACATTATATAATATTTTGTGTTATTGTATGTTGTTGTTGTTGATTAATATTCTCAAAACTTCATAATTTGTTGTTGTTTTTGTTTATTATAACTTGCGTTCTTGATCCTTTTGAATTGTTTTTCGTCTTTTTTAGCCCCCAATCACTGTTCGTCTTCTTCTCACCCAGTTTCTTCAAGTTTCCATCAAATCCTTCTATTAAAATGTATCAGCAGTCCGGTTGTAGCCATGGAAGTAGGTCCTCAAGTCATTCAAGGTACGTATGCAAGTGTGGTCTCGACGCTCCGTTGATTACGACATGGATCGATTCGAACTCAAACCGTTATTTCTATGATTGTGGGATGTATAAGATTCAAGGATATAAAAAATGCTCTCACTTTGCTAGGTTAGATGAGGAGATGGATCTTAGGGTAAAACAAACCATTTCTTCACTAGTAAATAACTTGAATGAGGAGAAGGAGATGTTTAACACCAATAAAGCAAATGAGGACGAATTGAAGTTGAAGGTGAAGATCCTGAAGAAACAGTTGAAGATTACCTGTATTTTTTTATTTGTAGTGTTCATTGCATTTGTTTTAACAACAATGACGAAATAAGTTATAGTTGATTAGGTTTGTATGTTGACTGATGGTGTAATCCTTGAAGTATTGGTTACCTTGGATTCATGTGATGATGTTATGGTGTATTGAATATGATACAAGTATGTGATATTATGAATATGATACAAGTATGTGATATTATGAATATGATACAATTAATATTATTATGATAACTTTATCACAAATGTGAGTTGTATTTTCTGATATGATATACTGAACAAGAATACAGGTTAAAAAATGGGATTAATTATAAAAGCAGGATAATATTTATTAAATCTGCAGAAAATTTAACAATGGTTATATATCGTAACCGTTATAATATCTCACGCGCTGACCAGAAAAAAATAAATATCAAAACGGCGCAGCTCGGAGTCGAACCTAGGACCATTATTTTTATCACAACGGACATTTAGAAAACCTGTTGTGATAGGGCGCGCACTTTCCAGTTTATTACAACGGTTACTAGGTCGTGATTGTAAGTATCAGATATACAACGACACTCTACATAACAACACCTGAGCCTGCGTGATTATATATTTTTCCCAACCGCTGTTAAATGGGTTTTCCGTAGAAGTGATATGAAAATAAGCAACGAAAATCATCAAGTTCAACATATAAGTCTTAAAAACAAAAAACTCCAACACAAGGAAAGCATAACACAAATAAAGAATGAACATCTCATCTCCAGTGCTACATATCAGAGCGACTTCTCTAAAGAGTTATAAGAGATAGTTGTATAATGCTCCATGATTGCATGAGAACTACATTTATTGATGGGAGAGACATTACCTAGCAATTATAGGGGCAGAAGATGTTATCTGAGGCTGCCCTATATGAAGGATATGAAAGGGTAAACATTAATGGAGGATGGGTGAGTCAAGCCATATAAATAAGAGATTTCTTAGATGAATAAGGAGTGCAGAAACCACATGAGAAACACATAGACAGACAGTTAAACCAATCATTTTAGGCTTTCCCTGAATGATAACGGGAAATTCGACCTTTTGGTGTTTTTTTAGCAAGAACAGATGCAAATGCATGTGGTACCAAGTCTCAGGGATCATAGGTATGTTATTGATTTTCCCATGTCTTTGGTTCCTCTTTGAACTGTGTCCCTCTCTGTACGTGAGACCATCATAGTTCCTCCCTAAACCAGGCCATCATTGGACTGAAGTCCTACCTAACTCCGAAATAAATGTATGCATGGTCATTAACAATGTAAACATGAAACATCATCAACATCATAGCATCACAAAATCACAAACATCAAAACATCATCAAAAAGGTTCCACTCTTGAACCTATAGGTTGCCAATCACAAGTCATCATTGTAACCCATCTAGATTATTATACTCAAATCGCCAATTAAGGTCGTCACTCTAATCCCTCTAGATTACTATACTCAAATCTCCAATTAAGGTCGTCATTATAATCCCTCTGGATTATTATACTCAAATCGCCAATTAAGACCATCAATATAACCCGTCTGGTTTACTATACACAAATTACCAATTAAGGTCGTCACTGTAATCCATCTGGATTATTATACTAAAAAAAATTTAAAATAATTTTAATCATTTTCCATCAAAAAGGTCAAAGTTATGTTATTAACCCAAAATCTCATCAGAATTTTTTAGGTAAATCAAAATGCCTCAAAACTCATAATTGTCAAAATAACCCTCGAGTACCCCAAAAGTACTCTAAAGTACCCAAATGTTCTAAAGGTATAGGTGTCGCTACTGCGAAAATAAGGTGCCGGAAATGACAGAAGAGTCGCCACCTTTCGTTATTTATCCCTCAGAATGGGAAAGGAAACGATCGGAAAAACCTGACGCAAAGGTATAAGACAAGTTCATCGCAACCATTGTCTGGATTCGGGAGTCGGTTACGCAAGGGGAAGGTATTAGCACCCCTCATGTCCATCGTACTCGATGGGATCCACGCTTGTTGTGTTTATCTGGAGACTTAGGCGTTACCGTTTGCGGTAGAACTGCAAGTTAACAGAACTCTCCTTTAAGAAAAGGGTTTTCCCGATTTAAGAAGTCCAAGAGGACAAAAAGGATTTGACGTTTGTTTTTTAAGTCTTTTACGGAAGAAGTGAATTGAGTTCTGTTTGTAACTCGTGTTGCACTAAAGACTTGGACTTGAGAGTGAATGCTTCGCATGTCACCCACACTAAACACTCGAGTTATGTGAGGGAAACCCTCCCACAACTCTTTCTCAAGTAGCATAAGG